TGTTTGCCAATTTAAATTCCTTTGGGTAAATTCCAAGGAGTGGGATGGCTGGGTCGAACGGTAGGGTTATCTTCAGGTTTCTGAGGAATCTCCAGACTGACTTCCATAGTGGCTTGACCAGTTTGCATTCCCACCAACAGTGGGTTAGTGTCCCTTTTTCCCCACATCCTCGCCAGCATCTGTTGTTGGTAGATTTCTGCATGTGAGCCATTCTAACCGGGGTGAGGTGAAACCTCATTGTGGTTTTGATTTGCATTTCCCTGATTGCCAATGACCTTCAACATTTTTTCATGTGCCTGTTGGCCATTTGGATTTCCTCTTTTGAAAAATGTCTATTGAGGTCCTTGGCCCATCTCTTAAGTGGGTGGTTGGTTTTGTTTTTGTGGAGTTTCTTGATCTCTTTGTAGATTCTGGTTATTAACCCTTTATCTGTTGCATAGTTTGCAAATATTTTTTCCCATTCTGTCGGTTGTCTCTTCACTCTCCTGACTGTTTCTTTTGCAGTACAGAAACTTCTCAATTTGATGCAATCCCAATAGTTGATTTTGGCTTTGACTGTCTGTGCCTCCCGGGTCTTTTCCAGAAATTCTTTGCCTGTGCCAATATCTTGAAGGGTTTCTCCAATGTTCTCTAGTAACTTGATGGTGTCAGGTCGTAGATTTAGGTCTTTAATCCATGTTGAGTGGATTTTTGTGTAAGGTGTAAGGTAGGGGACTTGCTTCATGATTCTGCACATGGAAATCCAATTTTCCCAGCACCATTTATTGAATAGACTGTCCTTACTCCAGGGATTAGTTTTAGATCCTTGATCAAATACAAGTTGGCTGTAGATGTTTGGGTTGATTTCTGGTGTTTCAATTCTGTTCCATTGGTCTATCCATCTGTTTCTGTACCAGTACCATGCTGTTTTGATTACAACTGCCCTGTAGTATGTCCTGAAATCTGGTATTGTGATGCCTCCAGCTTTGTTTTTGTTGTACAAGATTGCTTTAGCTATTCGAGGTCTCTTGTGCCTCCATATAAATTTCAGCACCATTTTTTCCAGATCTGAGAAGAAGGTCTTCGGTATCTTGATTGGTATTGCATTGAATCTGTAAATTGCTTTTGGGAGAATGGACATTTTGATGATATTGATTCTTCCAATCCATGAGCATGGAAGATTTTTCCATTTTTTGGTATCCTCTTCTATTTCTTTCTTTAAGGTTTTGTAATTTTCATCGTAGAGATCTTTAACGTCCTTGGTTAAGTTTATTCCAAGGTATTTGATTGTTTTTGTAGCTATTGTGAATGGGATTGATCTTAGAAGTTCTTCCTCAGCCATGGCATTGTCTGTGTATACAAAGGCTGTTGATTTTTGTGCATTGATTTTATATCCTGCTACTTTGCCAAACTCTTCTATGAGTTCCAATAGTCTCTTAGTAGAGTTCTTTGGGTCCCCTAAATAAAGAATCATATCATCTGCAAAGAGGGATAGTTTGAGTTCTTCCTTCCCAATTTGTATCCATTTAATTTCTTTTTATTGCCTAATAGCTCTGGCTAGAACCTCCAGAACTATATTGAATAGCAGTGGTGAGAGTGGGCATCCCTGTCTGGTACCAGATCTCAGTGGAAATGCTTCCAACTTTTCCCCATTCAATAGGATGTTGGCTGTGGGTTTTTCATAGATTGCTTTGATTGTATTGAGGAATGGTCCTTCCAAACCCAGTTTGCTTAGAGTTTTCATCATGAACGGGTGTTGTATTTTATCAAATGCTTTCTCGGCATCTATTGAGATAATCATATGGTTTTTCTTCTGCAGTCTGTTAATGTGGTGTATCACATTGATTGTCTTGCGCACATTAAACCATCCCTGCATACCAGGGATAAATCCCACTTGGTCTGGGTGGATGATCGTTCTGATGTGTTGTTGCATTCTATTGGCGAGAATTTTATTGAGGATTTTTGCATCTATGTTCATCAGGGATATTGGTCTGTAATTCTCTTTCAGTGCTGCATCTTTCTCTGGCTTAGGAATTAAGGTGATGCTGGCTTCATAGAAAGAATTTGGGAGGATAGAATGTCTGGTAGTAGGGTGTCTTTGGTCCTGTTCCTGAGATACCCTTCCTTGTTTTTCAAAGCTGATGAACCACCTGATAGTTCTCTCAGCACCCAATGTTATTCTTTCCTTAAAGCTACACTAGCACTTTGGTAGGATCATATTTATTACTTTTTTCAATCCATCCAAAGTTGTAAACTGAAACTTCATCATGGTCTTCATTTGTCTTTCCTTTTTTTTTTTTTAAAGGTTTATTTTATTTGAAAAGCAGAGTGAGAGAGAGAGAGAGAAAGAGACAGACAGACAGAGAGAGAGAGAAAGAGAAAAGAGATCAATCTTCCATCTGCTGGGTTACTTCCTAAATGGCCATTGTAGCCTAGCCATCCTGAAGCCAGGAGCCAGGAGCTTCTTCCTGGTGTCCCACATGGGTGGAGGCCAAAGACTTGGGCCATCTTCCCTTGCTTTCCCAGGAGCATTAGCAGGAAGCTGTATAGGAAGTAGATTAGCCCAGTCTTGAACCAGTGCCCACATGGGATTCCAGTGTCACAGGCAGAGGCCTAACCTGCTACACCACAATGCTGGCCCCTCATTTGTCTTTCTGTGACTTTCTGGTTTCCCTCCCTTCCCTTTCCTTCTCTTCCCTTCTCTTCTCTTTTTTCTTTTCTTTCTTCTCTCTCTCTCTGCCTATCATGTTTCCAATAGTGTGATTCTTGCCTTACAAATGTTTCAACTGGATCATATAGCATTTTTGTCATTTTTTATGTATGTTTGTGTGTTGGAAAAACTTGTGAAGTGGTATAAATTGCAATTTCTTAATGTAATTTTTGATGACAGAAGTTAATTATAATATACTTGAATTTAACAATCTTTATTTTTTTAACTTTTATTTAATGAATATAAATTTCCAAAGTACAGCTTATGAATTACAATGGCTTCCCCCCAAAAAAACTTCCCTCCCACCCGCAACCCTCCCCTTTCCCTCTCCCTCCCCCCTTCCATTCACATCAAGATTCATTTTCAATTCTCTTTATATACAGAAGATCAGTTTAGCATATATTAAGTAAAGATTTCAACAATCTTTATTTTAATGCATAACAGGCTTTGCTCTTTTTGGGGAAAACTTACTTATAGTTTTCTATATTTTTTAAACATTTTTGAGTTACATATTTCTCATGTAATTCTTACCCACTTGAATCTGGTACACATGGCCAATGATAGAGATCTATCTCTACTTGTACCTGTTGATCCTAAAGAACAGGATTCTGTCATCATCATATGTTGACTGTTTCCTCCTTTCTCCCTGACCTGCAATATCATCTCTCACATAGCCATTTCAGTTATTAGGAGTTTTGTTTCTGGAATCTCCTTTTTTATTCCAATGATTAATTTGTGCCTGTTTGTATTAATATCAAATATTGTTATTTCAGAAAACTTTGTAATTCTAAGGGTATTCTAAACATTCATGGAAATTGTATATTATGAAAAATTATATAGGGATTTCCAAAACTTTTTGGTACCAAATCAATTGATTTTTTGATTCCATTTTCCATGAACTTTTTTTTTTAAGATTTATTTATTTATTCAAAAGTCAGAGTTACACAGAGAGAGGAGAGGCAGAGAGAGAGAGAGAGAGTGGTCTTCCATTCGATGCTTCACTCCCCAGATGGCTGCAATGCCGGAGCTGTGCTGATCAAAGCCAGGACCCAGGAGCTTCTTTTGGGTCTCCCACTCGGGTGCAGGGGCCCAAGGACTTGGGCCATCCTCCACTGCTTTCCCAGGCAATAGCAGAGAGCTAGATCGGAAGAGGAGCAGCCAGGACTAGAACCAGCACCCATATGGGATGCCGGTGCTTCAGGCCAGGGCATTAACATGCTGCTTCACAGTGCCAGCCCCATTCCATGAATTTTTTGAAGTATTGTTTGTTTATCTTAAAATCTGACAGAGCAGGTTTTATCCGTATATACTATTTCTCTTAGTTCTTATTAGCCCTCTTGTCTTTCACTTTCATGTGAGTCAGTTTGTTAAATTCCTGCAGGAAAGGACTAAGGGGCTTCATGAAAATTACCCTGAGCCTGTGCATCACTTAGGGAGAAATAATGTTCTGATGACATTGGCTATTCCCAACTGTGCATACAGTGTTTCTCTCCATTTGTTTTGCTGTTCCTTCATTTTTGTTATCTATCTATCTATCTATTTATATATTTTTCCCTGAAATATATTGTGCATTTTTTATGAAATCTATTTTTGAGCATCTTAGTTTCTGCTTTTGGCATGCTCTTTTTCTATAACATATAATCTGCCACCCGACATGCTTATTCAAGACCCGGCTGCTCCACTACTGATCCAGCTCCTTGTTAATGTACTTGGGAAAGCAGCAGAAGATGGCCCAAGTGCTTAGGCTCCTACAACTATGTAGGAGATCTGGAAGAAGCTCTGGGCTCCTGGCTTTGGTCTGGCAGAACTCTTGGCCACTGCAGCCATCTGGGGAGTGAGTCAGCAGAGGAGGATCTCTTTCTGTCTTTTCCTTTCTCTCTCTTTCTCTGAGACTTTCAGTAAATGAAAAATGTTTTCATATACATATATATATGTATATATATGTGCATGTGTGATTGATTTTACATTGATTTTATAACAGTCACTTTACCAAGCCATTTAAAAATACTAAATTTATTTTTTCTTTATAGGTGTTAAAGTGTTTAATGTGGACAACTATAATAATGACTCCTCTGTTTTCTTCTCTTATACTAGCTTGTGTCTTAGGATAATGTTAAGCAGATGCAGTGCCAGTGGCATCTTTTTCTCGTTTTTATTGTTTCCAATACTGGGACAAGGGAGGAGGCTTCTAAATTGTTTACCACTAACAATGATGTTTTCTGCACTTAAAAAAAAATAACTCATTTTCAACTGACAAACAAAATTTCATATTCTAATGTTTCTTGACCTTTATTTTTTAATTTATTGATTTATTTGAAAGTCAGAGTTACAAAGAGATAGGGGAGAAACACTGAGAGAGAGAAAAAGAGAGAGAGAGAGAGAGAGAATCTTCCATCTGCTGATGTACTCCCTAAATAGCCTCAGGGTAGCTCCAGGCCACAGCCAGGAGCCAGGAGATTGTTTTAGGTCTCCCACATGGGTGCAGAGGTCCAAGCACTTGGGCCATCATCTGCTTATTTCCCAAGCACATTAACAAGAACTCGATCAGAAGCAGAGCAGCCAGGATTCAAACTGGTGCCCACATGGGATGCTGGCACAACAGACTGCAGCTTAACCTGCTGCACCATAGTGCCAGCTACTTCTTTGTTTTTTTTTTTTTCTTCTAAATTTCTATGATTGTTTTTTAATTTAAAAGGCAGAGAGACAGAAGGACAGATAGAGATCTTCCAACTGTTAGTTTACTCTCTAAATGCTTGCAACTGTCAGGGGTGTGCCAGCCCCAAACCATGCAGCTGGAGCTCTGTTGAGGTCTCCTACATGGGTAGCAGAGACCCAAACACTTGAAGCATCATCTGCTGCCACCAGGGTGTACACTGGCAGGATGATGGATGGGAAGCAGAAGCTGGGAATTAAGATCGGCACATACATATGGGTCACAGGCCTCCCAAGCTGTCTTATTCATTACATCCAACACTCACTACAAACTTATTTTTAGGGAGAGGCAAAGTACATGTACCTGTTGTAAGATTACAGATCTTCTTGAAGAGCTAAAGTGACTCCATTTTAAAACAATTAAAATAAGCAGCCTCCGTTTCCCATAGCAGACCCGAGTCCTTGTAAAAGCAGGCATTCAGGCATTCCGGAGATATCAAAGCTTACCAGGGACAGACAGCTAGCTAGGTAGACCAAGGACAGCACAGTAGAGATCGCTAAACAAAGTAACTCCCTGTACCCAAAGCTTCTGTGCTGTATGTAACTTTTTTCCTGCTGATGTAGCCCTTTTTTCCTTTAAAAACTCTCCCAAAGACCAGGGCCTCACTCCTTCCTCTGCTGTGCTGGTTGGTTGGATGGGGTCCCTGTCACGGCTTGTACTCCTGGATAAACCTTGCTTTTGCAAGAGAGACCCTCTCTGGGGGTCTCTGTGGGGATCTAATGATCTGGGCACAACACTCTGTTCTAGTCTTAATTTGACAAGAGATGTTTATTGTCAGGATCTCCCCCTCCAGGAACTGGCTGGGTTGCCATGAAGAAAGAGTGGAGGAGACTGAGGAAAGTCAAGCTAAACACATTTCATTGGTACTCTAGGCGACCAGGAGGAGAGATCGCTCAAGCCTCCTGCGGGCACAAGGCACTATGGACCAGGAGCTTCTCCCTGCGGGCACAAGGCACTACAGACCGAGGAGAGAGGCTGAGCAACCTCTGCTTTAAAGTGTCTGAGGGTCCCCTTATATACAGGTAAGCCCCACCCTCACGCTGACCTCCCAGGGTCCTGTAATCATAGTAACGACGGTTATGATGGTTGATTTGTGGTTTGCGGTTAGGCCATTATAACGGTTTTGCGGTTAGGCTGTTTTCTCTTTCAAACTGCGCTATAGCGCGTTTACTTTCTCCTCGAATGGGTCCCTAACATTTATTTTCTCTACTAATCTCTAAACTTGAACTATAGAATATGTGTTTCTTATGTTCAATCATCCTAATATTCCTGGAATGTAAGATAATTATGACAAATTATCTCATTTATTGTAACTATTTTTCAAAATAACTGCATTTTGTTTCAAAATATTTAATCTAGATTTGTGCACCTATGATAGTGAGTGACATTGGCTTGTAATTTTCCCTTGTTTGTACCACTTTTGTTTGCTTTTGATATTAAAGCCATACTGGTCTCTCACAGAGTAGTTTTCCTTTTGGAAAGCATAGGAGAGAAATATCAGGATGGAATATTTTCCTAACATAGGACTTTATGTAGATCTCTGGATTTAGAAACTTTTTGCAGACAAGAAAATCTATCATGAAAATTCTAAGGTGTATTTGGATAATTAAGGTCTGAGATAAAGCAAATAATGAGATCTCTACAATAAACATGTTAAGGAAATGACTCTTATCATTGAAGTGTATAGAGGATTTTCCCAAGGAAAAAATGAGAGTTAACAAATTGAAACACTTTTCCTGGATGGTTTATCAGGCAAGCAATCATCAATCAGGAAGTGCATGAAAAATGGGAGGGATTACTAGTTATGATAATGCAAGCTGTGTATGAGATTTTACTCATGAAAATGAGCCTGGTAGAGAAAACCTCAGGCAGAGAGCATTGAAAGGTATATTTAGTTGAATGTTAGTCTGAGCAAAACCACTCAGCAAAGAATTTTTTTTATTTAGCTCAAGGTCTATTCAAATCCCTATGTAGTTGAGAATGAGTAGAATCCACATAATCTTTTCTAAGGATTGTGGTATAGTAATAACAGTAAGAAAAGAGGTTAAACATTGTCCTGCTCCTAAAAAAGAGAAAAATTTGACATCTTTCACCGAGGTCAATGTCTTTGGCCTTGTGCATGAATGTGTCAATGTCAGATGCTGAAGAGTGGCTGAAGAAACTAAATAAAAGCACCGCTTTCTTTTAGGGATGAGGAATTTTGTATTAAAATCATGGTGTCCAGGGCCTAACTTTGCTGTTTTTAATTAATTGGGAATTTGCTTATCTTCTTTGAGCCTCAGTTACCCACCTGTGAAACAGACAGATTTGGTTGTCTACAGCTCACTATGGCTTTATATAACATTATATATTATCCAAATGAATTGTTAATGATAGGGCACCAAAAATTTGACCCTTCTATCATAAAATTCAATGCCCTTTGCTAACTAATGAAAAAGGTTTTTTTGGTTTCAATTTTGTTTATTTCTTCTCTAAATCTAATTATTTTTCACATAGTTTTGAGTTTGGTTGCTGTTGTTTTTCTAGATCCTTGAGATGCATTGAGAGGTCATTTATTTGGTGCCTTTCCAATTCCTTGATGTAAGCACCAATTGTTATAAAGTTTCCTTTTAATACTGCTTTTGCTGTATCCTGTAAGTTTTGATATGTTATGTTGTCATCTTCATTCATTTCCAAAAATTTCTTGATTTCTCTTTTGATTTCTTCAGTGACCCACTGTGCACTCAGGAGCGTGTTGCTCAGTCTCCATGTGTTTGCATATTCTAGAGATTCTTGAGTTGTTGATTTCCAGCTTCATTACATTGTGATCCAAGAAGATATATAGTATGATTTTGATTTTTTTGAATTTCCTGAGACTTGCTGAGAATTTGTCTAACCTAGAGAAAGTTCCATGCACTGATGAGAAGGACGTGTATTCTGCAACTTTAAGATGAAAAGTTTTATAGATATCCATTAGGTCCATTTGATCTATAATGTTGATTATCTCTGTTGTTTCCTTGCTGATTTTCTGTCTGGCAGTTCTGTCCATTGTTAAAAGTGGGGCACTGAAGACCCCATTACTATTGTATGACAGTCTGTCTCCCTTTAGATCCATTAACATTTCAGCCAGGTGCCCTGTAATTAGGTGCATATGCATTTTTTAGTTGCATCTTCCTGTTGAATTGATCCCTTAATCATTACCTAGTGCCCCTTTTTGTCTTTTTTAAGAGTTTTTGTGTTAAAGTCTTTCTTGTCTGATATTAGGATGGCTACACCAGCTCTTTTTGGTTTCTATTCAAATGAAATATCTTTTTCCATTCTTTCACTTTTCAGTCTGCGTGTGTCTTTGTTGGTGAGATGTGTTTCTTGTAAGCGGCAAATAGATGGGTTTTGTTTTATAATCCATTCAGCCAGTCTGTATCTTTAACTAGAGAGGTGAGGCCATTTACAGTAGCCCATCTAAACTTGTGATTCTTTACAATATTCTTATAAGAAAATGTTGCCAATTTCTTTTCCTCTATTCTTCAAGAAACTTAGACCAGAGAGGTTAAGTGACTTAATCAAGTTCACCCCACAAGTTAATGATAAAGGACTGGATTTGTGTCCTTTTTGAATTATGAGCTTGTGGTATTGTTGCTATAGCACAAACTGTTTTACTGGTCCCCTGTGAGATGTTATCCCTAGTAAAAAAGGCATCTTTCTACTGTAGCCATCAAAGCATTCTGTTTTGATCAGACAAGTAAAAATCACGGGAACACAAAGAGTAAGAGAATATTTTGATGATATTTCTGAGTAAAATCAGAATCACTGACCCCTGAAGATAATTTGTTTTGAGCTTTATGGTAAAAATGAATTTCCAATAATTCAATGTGCCTCATAACCTCAAGACTGGCAAAAATATTCAGAGGTCAATTAATATAATCTCTTGTTTCTCAGTAAGACTCAATATACTTCAAAACAGCAACAATGGACTTTTCCCTAATTGCTTGCAGGATGTTCTCTTACTTCTGTTTACTATAGATACCAAATCATCTCATCTTATATGTAGAAAGCCCTTCCTTAGGCCTCTTCACAAATTTCTTCTTCTCAATATGGTGAGACACTAACTCGGAATCTGGTCCAGGGTTATTTTCCAGTGCCATCTGTGTTACTATGCAGTGCTTTTGGACTGCACTATGGACATCAGCCACTTCCTAGAACATCTTCAATTTATATTAATAATATGAATTTAAATTGTGTATTATCCATAATGTCTTAGCATTTCATAAGCACAGGGATCACTTTCTTTTCATGGGTTTGATAAATAGAAAACATTTGAAATGTTCATGAAAGAATGGAATGAAAGAATGGAAAAATGAATGAAATAATAACCTCAACCTTACCACAGGTGGATAAGGCAATGGATTCCAACTGTACACTCTCACTTTCTAATATTAAGCCATATTTTGAGGAAAATACCGATTTTATTAGAAAGATAAAAATACCTGGCTAAGTAGATTATCACTATTAACAAATCTCTCTTTTTATTCATTTTTTTTTCTGGTGTATCACAATTTCCTACTCTCTTCCAGAATTCTACTCATTGGTGCCATTGGCTGTGTGTTCAATATACTCCTGAAGTGTGCCAAAAACCTTATATGCTACTTAATTTAATTCTTGCAACTACTGTATTGAGTAGAATCTCAGAATTCAATTTTAGTTACTTGTCTAATAAGGCATGAAAGTTAATAATAGGATTAAAATTGATCCTGCTTTCTGGCTTCAAAGTCCATGTCCTTAAACACGATACTCTCTGTCACAAGATAATTATATACTAAAAAAAATTTTCCTTCTTTTATTTTATGTTACACACAAGCAATTTTTGAGTACATCCTTTAAAATATTATGAATCAAGTGTTATCTAAAAATATTTTCCCCATTTTAAACTAGATTTATCTCTACTGTCTTAACAACTCTTCCAAAAGGAGGCAATATTAATGAACTGGTAAATCAGAATCTGAGATACTTGCTTGGATTTAGATATTGGATAAATGAGTTTGTTTGCTGTGTCATAAAAGCAATAGTGAAGTGAATTTTTTTCCACCCCTCCTTACATGGTCAAGATCAGTGAAAGGGCTAGACTCTTTACCCATCTTAACCAATGCTTTGTCCTTGAGGCATGCTCTGGGCTTAGGTAGATCAAGGGTAAGATTGTTTCATCTTCTTCTATTCCATCTGGTACTAGAGGGTAAGTTCTCCGTCACATTACAATGGTGAGATTACACCCTGCGGTCAGAGAAGGCAGAGAGATCAAGATTTAAAATCGCAAAGGAAGAAACTTCTTCTAGTCATTCTGACCTGAGCCATTCAGAAAGTGAAAAGCAGCCCTGTTAACAACCAGAGTGCAGTGGTACCCACGGAACATAAAAAATGCTCAAGCAAGGCAAAGACTATGGTCACTCTGAACACATGTGGATAAGATACAGAGAAGGCTCTTCATGACTACAAAAATGACAGGGACTAGTGTGAAACACTGGAACTAAAAGTCTCCATCTCTTGGTGTACTTTAAGTTGTTACTGTTCTTTCAGTAAAGGAATTCTATCCCCACTTTGCTTCTCTAACAGCCTAGATAAAATATATGTGAATATGAATCCAGTCATTAAATTGCCTTTACTTTATGATATCTAAACTCAGTCTGGTCCACTTTCCCTCAACCCAGCACAGTGCAAATCTTACAAGAAGCTTCTCCCAATTCTCCCCTCCTTCCTTTCTACAACAATCTACATAATCTAAACGTTCATTAGATTGCAGGTAAGTTCCTGGTGGCATTTAGAGATTTGCTTCCACACTGATTTATTATAGAACACCCTCAAAGCCAGCTGGAAATCACTATAGAAACCCCAAACTGGATTGTCTCACCCATCACACAGCACTTACTGACACCCAAGTGGTGCCAAAAGCAGGAATTTACTGCAAAGTGCAGTGCAACCAGGAGGAAGGCTGCTATCGCTTAATTCCAGGCTCTTTGAGAGTTTAGGGTAAATATTCTTTAAAATTGAAGTTGGGACTGAGAGGTGCATGTTCAACTCATTCCTGGTTGGTCTGCAGAGCTTTTTGTCCTCTAGTTGGTGTTGTACCCTTTAGGGAATTCTGATGATGGCAAAGTGAGCTCCAGTCAGTCTGGGGATTCTGTTCAGGTGATAGTTCCTTTTCACTCAGAACCTTGGGTTCCTGGGAAAGAAATTCCTTAATGTTTGGATGTCAAATTGTTATCTATGGAAGAAATAAATGATGTTATGTGTCTTGTGTTCTGGACCCTGATTTAGTGAGTTAATTTTAAGTAAATGGTTGATTTGCAATCATAAAAGCAGAGCAAAGAAACTTTTTAAAAAAGAATTATTTATGCCAGTGCCACGGCTCACTAGGCTAATCCTTCGCCTTGCGGCGCCGGCACACTGGGTTCTAGTCCCGGTCGGGGCACCGGATTCTGTCCCGGTTGCCCCCCTTCCAGACCAGCTCTCTGCTGGGGCCAGGGAGTGCAATGGAGGATGGCCCAAGTCCTTGGGCCCTGCACCCCATGGGAGACCAGGATAAGTACCTGGCTCCTGCCATCGGATCAGCGCAGTGCGCCGGCCGCGGCGGCCATTGGAGGGTGAACCAATGGCAAAGGAAGACCTTTCTCTCTGTCTCTCTCTCTCACTGTCCACTCTGCATGTCAAAAAATAAAAATAAAAAAGTAAAATAAATTAAAATAAAATAAAATATTAAAAGATTTATTTATTTTACTTAAAAGAGTTACACACACAGAGAGAAGGAGAGGCAGAGAGACAGAGAGAGAGGTCTTCCATCTGCTGGTTCACTCCCCAGATGGCCACAATGGCCGGAGCTGCACTGACCCAAAGCCAGGAGCCAATAGCCTCCTCCAGGTCTTCCACGCAGGTGCAAGGGCCAAGGACCTGGACCAACCTCCACTGCTTTCCCAGGCCATAACAGAGAGCTGGATCAGAAGAGGAGCAGCTGGGACTAAAACCGGAGCCCACATGGGATGTCAGCACCGCAGGCAGTGGCTTTACCCATTTCGCCACAGCGCTGACCCCAGAGCAAAGAAACTTTAAGCTCAAGGTAGAAGGCTGTGAGACTTTGGCAATCTAGGATATGACTGTGGCTAGCATCTGCATCCAAGGTGCAGTAGAGTAACTTGGTTTCAATATTCTCCAACCCATATGACAACCCAGCTGTTGCTATGGCACTTCCATATTATGGGGTTCTGGATGGTTGTTTAGCTATTTATTGAATGTAAATAAACATTTCTATGGGATTACTGTGCTTCACAGTATAACTCCTGTTTTCAGTAGTCTGGGTTGCTATAACAAAGTGTTCTAGAGTGAGTATCTTAGACGCAACAAAAATTAATTTCATTTTGGAGGTTGCAAATCCAAGATCAGTGTGCTAGCATGTTCTGATGGGCTCTCTAGGTTAAGAAATTGATAAGGAAAAACATAAAATGGATAATGTTCCAAACAAGACAGCATCCTGACTCATCAGAGTCAGTGGTTTCTTTCTATCTTTTTCTTCTGAGATGGGAAGAAAGATTTAGATATTTAGAGGAAGAAAGTTCTAAGAATATTCCGATATTTCTGTTTCCCTTATTTATTTTTCCCATACTCAGTTCTTTCCATAAGTGATTGCTTAGCTTTAATATTGGTTATTCAACCCATGCTGCTACATATAATGGAAAATACTTTTTGAGTACTGCTTTTGGAAGGTCATATCCTCCTGTCTGGGAGATAAAACAGGAGGAGAGAGCAAGTCTTGAGCCTAGACTACTGTTTGGAATGAAACTTCGCTGTGTGTTGTGTGTGTGTGTGTGTGTGTGTGTGCGTGCACATGTTTAGAGACAGAGGAGGGTGATTATTGGATACACTGTTAGACACTAATCAATTAGATTGTAAATAGAAGAGACAGGGTGTGAATATGAAGTACTGGTACTGTCACCTGTGATCCTGAAACCAGATGCTAGAAAATACAACCTTGGAGGACATTTTGTGTATAAGAAAATGTAAACATTAATAAACTGTTCACAGTAATATATCATTGTTTTAATTTAGGAGCAGAAAGAAGCTGTCTATAGTCAGAACGTTTATGTCCCCCTACCATAAATACATTGAAATCCTCACTAAGGTCATGGCATTGGGAGATATGTTTTGGAGGATTGATTAGGTCATCAGATGAATCCCTCCTAGATGGGATTAGTGCTCTTATAAAAAGAGGCAAAAGCAGCCCAAAGTACACCTCTCCTTCCACCGTTCAAGCAGATACCACACGTGAGCTAGAAAGAAGACTCTCACTACATCTCAAATTTGCATTAATCTTGGACTTCTCAAATTCAAAAACTGTGAGAAGTTTCTCTATTTTATTCACTACCAGGTTTGTAACTTTTTGTTAAAGCATTCTAAATGGACTAAGGCAAAGCCCAACTCAAAAAAGATTTCCAGGGATTGCCATGGAAGGTGGCTGAGTCATGTTAATAGGCATAGATACATTGACCTGTTTAAATGGCATAGAGAAATAAGATTGTCTTGGCAGTAGAAAAATACCTCATGGTCATTCTCATTTTGTACTTATCAAAAAAAAAAGCATTTCATCTCTCTCTCTCTCTCTCTCTCTCTCTCTCTCTCCCCCTCTCCTTTCCTCTCTCCTTCTCTCTCTCTCTCTCCCTCTCTCTTTCTCTCTCTCTCCTGATACTAGCCAGCTTTCAGATGTATACTCTTTTTAACTGTAATATTCTTCTCTCCTCATTCCCAGACTGGCCTGGCATCTGCTCAACAACTAGTATATTCTCTGTAAAACGGGTTGAGTATAACAGGTAAGTACCAGTAACTTCTTTTTGGTCTCACCTTGCTGGGTCAGAGGCATGCTCAGATGTTCATAATACATGAACTTCTTAGGATGTTCAAGATTAAGGCAGCATTCGACATATGACTGCTATATGTCCTATAAATGGCTATAATAATCAGGTTGTTACGATGGTTGATAGACTTATTTTATGTAAAGCAGTTATAATAATAAAAGCTAGCACATAGTAAGCACACTGTAACTACCTATCTATGAATCATATCTATTGTTTTGTGCCTGCTGAACATCCATTCCTTCTTCTAATTATGATTCTAAAATATATTTTGGAGCATCACATTTCCCTACTATAAGTCCTTGTTCAGGCCCTGTACCCTGGTTCCAAGTGTAGACAATGCACTAGACCTGGCAAATCAGAATCACAGTGATTCAGTCATGAATGGCAATTGTAGTGGCTCTAAGTCACTGAAATTCTATCTCATGACTTCTCATCAAAACTTCTGGGAAAGAGAATATCTTTTTACATCGGTATTGCTATGTGAAATGGAACTTGAACTCACCAGGAAAGGATTATTTTCCCTAAGAATAAAGTCAACTTACAGCAAAGCTGACTTGAAAATGGAGACCAACAGATCCTGACAGTCTTTTTTAGAGCAATTGCAAAGACAAGCAAATATCAAATTTTCACATTTGTTAAATTAGTAACACCCTGTTCCTGAGTTTCTTATCAGCTTAAGAAAATTACCTTATTTCCAAAAGAGCCCTAACTTCCTAACTTTATCCTACAGCTTTCAGATTTGCAAGCTACTCAAGGAGAGTTGGGTGTAAGCATACAATGTTATTCTAGGCGAACACTGCTAATATCACTATTTCTAGTGCATTCTTCTGATATTCCTCCGTAGAGGAAATTTCTGTCTGCCCTTGAATCAGCTTTGGTCTATGGTCCACATAGATGAGAACATTTTCAATCCACCAAACACCTCTGATCCTGATTTCTCCACATTTTGGGATCTTTTGTTCTACTGGGATGCATCAGCCCAAGTTTGTTTATTTTTCCACTCCAAGTAAGAAATCCACATTGTTTGTATATGTTTTAATTTTATTTTTGAAGATTATTTATTTGAAATACAGAGTGATAGAAGAGAAGGATGGGGAGACACACACACACACACACACACACACACACACTGTGTGTGAGAGAGAGAAACAGCTATCATCCATCTGCTAGTCCAGTTCTTAAATGGCCACAACAAGCTGCACCAGGTTGAAGCTAGTGGGCCAGAACTCCATCTGGGTCTTGGACTTAAGTGACAGTGACTCAAGTACTTGAGTCATCATTTGCTTCTTCCCAGGCATATTAGCAGGGATATGAGTTGGAAGCAGAGTAGCTGGGAATAGAACCTGTGTTCCTATATTAGTTGAGGGCATACCAAGTGGTGAACTAACCCAGTGAACCTATGCCTGTGTCAAATTATCCTTGTTTCTTCTTTCACGCATATTCCCACCAGCCCCAATCCAATTTTTCTCAACTCAAAAGAGGGAAATATGTTATCCAACCTTCCAGTTAGTTATTAATAGGATGTTATCTGGCTAACACAGAGACTTAAATGGACTCAAAGGCAAAAGAGGTTGAAAAGAAATACTAAGAATTCAACCAGAAGAGGCCGGCGCCGCAGCTCACTAGGCTAATCCTGCGCTTTGCGGCGCCAGCACACCGGGTGCTAGTCCCGGTCGGGGCGCCGGATTCTGGCCCGGTTGCCCCTCTTCCAGGCCAGCTCTCTGCTATTGCCCGGGAGTGCAGTGGAGGATGACTCAAGTCCTTGGGCCCTGCCTGCACCCCATGTGAGACCAGGATAAGTACCTGGCTCCTGCCATCGGATCAGCGCGTTGCGCCGGCCGCAGCGGCCATTGGAGGGTGAACCAACAGCAAAGGAAGACCTTTCTCTCCGTCTCTCTCTCTCACTGTCCACTCTGCCTGTCCGCAAAAAAAAAAAAAAAATAACTCTCAATCAAACAAGGATCAGTGAAATGAAGAGAGGATGAGCATGGAGGTCATAGTCTCAATGAAAATTAGATAAGAAAATCCATTCCATAATTTGTTGCTATAGCAAAAATAGAAGAAAATTCATGTAGTATTTGCATTACAGAGGTGGGTGTACTTGAAAATGAGAAGACAACTCTAGAGACTAGGATAACGGAAATAGCAATCAGGCAAGTTGATAGTTATGCTTGGATTAGCTCTGTTCATAAACTAGTAAAAAGAAAAGTCTTGCTTTGTTCACATAACTTCTTTTTTATGTATTTATTTGATAGAAAGAGTTAGATAGTGAGAGACAGAGAGACAGAGAGAAAGGTCTTCCTTTTGTTCACATAACTTCTAAGAGAAAACACCAGGACTATCTGCTTTTGACTTCATTAAATTCTCTGAGTGATTGTGATATGGATTTTTTTTTTTTTGACAGACAGAGTGGACAGTGAGAGAGAGAGACAGAGAAAGGTTTTCCTTTTGGTTCACCCTCCAATGGCCGCCGCGGCTGGTGCACTGCAGCCGGCACACCACGCTGATCCAAAGCCAGGAGCCAGGTGCTTCTCCTGGTCTCCCATGCGGGTGCAGGGCCCAATTACTTGGGCCATCCTCCACTGCACTCCCGGGCCACAGAAGAGAGCTGGCCTGGAAGGGGGGCAACTGGGACAGAATCTGGCGCCCCGACCGGGACTAGAACCTGGTGTGCCAGCGCCGCTAGGTGGAGGATTAGCCTTTTGAGCCACGGCACCGGCCTGTGATATGGATTTAATTCCCAATTCTTCTACTTAATACCTGAGTTACCTGGGAGAATGTTCTAGACATCTCACACTATGTATAAATATTATTTAAAAATTATTATCAACACCATTCTGATTCTGAGAACTAACAGAACTAAACGAGACCCTGAACATAAAGATATTTCTCAATAATGAAGCTACACAAAAATCATACTTTCACATATTAGTATCATCATCATTGGTATCCTTTGGTGAAATAAAAATGGGAGTAGAGGCCGGCGCCGCGGCTCACTAGGCTAATCCTCCGCCTAGCGGCGCCGGCACACTGGGTTCTAGTCCCGGTCGGGGCGCCGGATTCTGTCCCGGTTGCCCCTCTTCCAGGCCAGCCCTCTGCTGTGGCCAGGGAGTGCAGTGGAGGATGGCCCAGGTGCTTGGGCCCTGCACCCCATGGGAGACCAGGAAAAGCACCTGGCTCCTGGCTCCTGCCATCGGATCGGTGTGGTGCGCCGGCCGCAGTGCGCCGGCCGCGGCGGCCATTGGAGGGTGAACCAATGGCAAAGGAAGACCTTTCTCTCTGTCTCTCTCTCTCACTGTCCACTCTGCCTGTCAAAAAAAAATAAAAAAAAAAAAAATGGGAGTAGAGACTCAACAGGATACAATGCATTTCTATCATACATATTGTGTCTTAACTCCACGTTTGAAACAGTATTAGTAGGCACATTCTTTTCTAAATGACAAAAGCAATACATCAGGGATTTGAATCATTCTTCTTCCAAGGGGAAGATACTGAGTTTATGATGATTGATTGTGACCTTGAAAATATAATTATTTTCTTGGTACTGAAAATGCAATTTATTCTTTTCTGTATTTAGGACAGGTAGAGAAATTTCACATTGACCTGCAGAGGGGGTGGCAGGGCACTTGCGATTCAAAATACAAATGAGATCATAATTGGTCCATAAAGCCAATTCTCCTCATACTGTGCTTTGTAAACAGAGTGAAGTGTACATCTGTAAAATGCCATATTTTAATCATATACATTGCTTATTATTGAATTTTTTAATCAACAATGTAAGAGAAAAATTTAAAGGATCAGTCATGTATATGGTATTTCTGGCTAGGTAAGACATGATCCAATGAGATCTTCTGTATTTCACACTTTAAGAGACTGATAAGACACATGAAAGTTCCTAGTATTGATGGTGAATATATAGTAAAAATGTATAATTTCAAGCGTTTTTTGGGTAGGAAGAGTAAATCTAGTATCTATTAGCTTTGTTTCATCAAATTTAAGAACAGTTATTTTGAGTCTCACTTTTGTATCTACGATTTGGGAGCGCTAATAATTTCTTTGCAGACTGATGTCTGTAATGAGCTCTGAATTGAATGTATGTTCAATATATGATAGCAATTACTGCTAATGGCACTTTTAAGTTTGAAAACCCAAAAGGCAAATTATTTTGCATTGCATATCCTTCCTAGTTTACGGGAAGGATATCCTGGTACTAGAGGCATTTGAGTTTATCAATCTTGTATATATTTTCTGAAAATAGGATGTCATAAAGATTAGATGATAAATGCAGAAGTAATTTTGTTACAGTATTAAAAACCTTACCAAGGAAGTTGACAGAGACAATAAAGGCATGCGACTGATGCTTAGAAAAAGGAACTGCTAAAGGTGATGGTCAATTGTTATGAAAGGAAAGAGTAATTGGCGTCAAAGGTATCTACAGAACCAGAGCTTGGGAAATGGAGGAATGACAGCCCTAGAAATTGAAAAGCAAATGGATGCTCAAATGTGTAGTATATAAGGAATAAAAACCAAGGCTATGGATTTGTCTACTGTCTCTGCAGGAATGGAGGTTAACGCTATGGGTTTGATCAATCCAGAAAGAAGGAAAGAACTTTCTTGAGTCTCTTGACATTATTGGCATGGTGGGTTCTTTACTTTCAAACTGTGACAGTTCAATAAATAGTGTTAGTGATGATCTATTGCTTTCCTGGTGCCAGGATGGCTTAGTGTCTGATAATATAAAGCTAACATGAAACAGTGATTTATATTTTCATGATTGTTTGATGGATAACTAAACATAATGTTTAACTACATATGCAAATGGATTGATTAGCCAGTCTCAGTTTTCAAATGACCTCTGTTTTGTATTTGGCTTTGACATAGACTCTTTTGATTTATCAGAAGATTTAGCTGTGTATAGTATTTGGATTTACATAGAGTGGGGTGAATTTTAATGAAAATCATTTATCATCTTCAAGACTTAGCTAGTATATGTACAAGTCAACCCTGTTACTCTCTTGCCATGTTCATAATGTTGCAATGGGATTATATCAACTATCAGAATGAAGACTTTGAACTAAGGATTAAGAAAATATCAGTAACAATTTTATTGATAATGATAATGATGACCAATATTAAAAATAATTACTATAAGTCATTTTTAAGTGAAATTTTAAGACAAGAACACTAAAAAAATAATTTATGGAGTGTGTGATGCATACCAGGTTCTATGTTAGGAGTTTTTATACATTCAATTTAATTATTTTCTAAGACTCTTCAAGGTTTCTCTTCTTTATGGATAAGAAAACTGAAGTTAGAGGACTACATAAAAGTGACTATATGAAAGTATGGTTATATGATTGATATACACAGGAGCATAAACCTCTAACCTAGGTTTTCTATCTCAGCTTATTATTTCTCTCCATCGATTTCATGCCCGTCTTTAAAGCTCAATTTATCATTGCAAAGATATCACAAAAGAATTAAACAAATATGACAACATTGTTCAGATACTGTATCAAACTTTCATCTTGTTAAATAATTGAATAATGAATGAATGACAGTGGCATGCACTAAAACCTCACCACTCATTAATGCACAGATAAGACCTAAACATAATAGTTATCTGTCCATTACTAAATGTAATTTTGCACAAAATGAAACACAGGAAAGGAGAAATTAAACATACAGGTGTAAGTCATTTGGAGGATAGGAGAATGCAGGGAGGTGAGACCCAGTATAGCAAATTTCAAATCTTATTTAAAAAATATGTCAGGCTGACTCAAAAATACAATTTAGCATTCCTTGTCAAATTGCAGAGGCAAGACTAGCATCCCACTGTAAACTAATAATGTAAGGTACAGAATAGAGTGCCGGAGAACTTAAAAAATAAGAATCTATGTTGCAACAATGTGTTGTGTACTATCTCATTTGTTTGATTTAGGATTTCACATAGTATTTAATTTAGTTTTTACTACAACTATAAACGTGGACTATTACTTAGAGTATACTGTTTTACAAACAGACTTGAGGAGTTATAATGTCTCGAAAGATTGAATGTTTATTTCTTGCTCATATTGTATTATTTGATCAGTAAACAGTTAGCCAAGACACTTGTTTTCCATGTTGTTGTTCAGGGAACCAAGAACCTAGGATTTACTTTTCAAAATGTGATACTCAAGAATATTCTTGTGGTTGTTTCCATTATAGCCAGAGGGGGAATACACCCTGGAGAAGAATTATATGAGAAGTTTATATATACTAACACGAAATGTTCATCATCACTTGGAGGCTTATAGTCTCTTCGCTACAAGGTCATGATTGTTTCAACAATAAGGAATTCAGGAAAAGCATTATTGTCCTAACAAACACTTCACAGGCACAACATTTATTATGGGAAGTGGAGATAAATTTTTTTAATTTTTATTTTTGGAGAAAACTGGCAGTTCCCGTGACACCTGGCTATGGACATCTTAATTGTGTATGTAAGGAAACTAACGCTCAAAGATGATAACTTACTCAAGGATTCAAGATTCTAAAAGTGTTCATTCACAAATTAACCTCACTGGCACTCAGGATACTATGGTCCTAGAGCCAAATTTGGCCTACAGCTTGTTTCTAGGGATAAAGTTGTCTTGGAAGACAACATGCCCCTTTATTTTTATGTCTATGACTTGCACACAGCAATGACAATGTTAACTACTAGTGACAAAAAATAGTACTGACTGCAAAGTCTCAAATATTTCTTTCTGATCCTTTACAACAAGGTTGCCAACTAGTTCTGTTTCCTATTGTGTTTATAAATAATTTAATGCCTAAACTTGGTGACTTAAAAAAACACACACTTATTGCCATACAACTCTGTGAATTAGCAGTCAGAGCAGATCTTAGTGGGATAAAGCCAGGTGTCAGAAAGGCAGCTTTCTTTTTTTTATTTTTTTCTTTTC